AAAGCATTAATTGATCTTGAATTATTCATTTTCTCGCCAATTAAAATAGTGTATAGACAAAGCATAGGAGGACCTTGCCATTTGTGCCCAGAATGTTTTTTTTTGCAGTGGGCTGCGAATAGGAAACAGGCCAGGGGTTCTTAAAACCCAATGTTGGAATAACCAGGATTTAAACGCATTGCCATCATAGCATACCCAGCATTAAAGATATGGCTAGGGTTCGGAGTTTTCGGTTTAAACCGATAAAAACCAATAAAAGTACGCCGAATTCATTTTCGGAAATTCGGTTTTAACCGAAAAAGGTCAGTTTTTAGGTTCGGCATTTTCAATTTAAACCGTTAAAAACCGATAAAAGTACGTCGAATCCATTTTCTAAAATTCTGTTTTAAACGGAAAAGATCACTTTAACCTTCCAGTCGTACCGCAGAGCCGTGGCGAAAAAGTGGAAGGACAGTGTCTATATGGAAACGTGTCCGAATGTATGGGATACACGGATGCCATCACGACGTTTTGGTTCAATGTGCGCATGATCGATCGGAACGTGAAGTCTGGGGTGCTATGTTGCGCTTTTTGCACTCCCAGGAGACTTAGGAGAAGGAAGTGACGTCAACGACTAGAGCAAACGCAGATTGGATGTTAACAGAAGAAAACAAAATCAACATCCAATCTGCAATTGCTGCGTTATTGACGTCACTTCCTTCTCCCTAGTCTCCTGGGAGTGCAAAAAGCGCAACATAGCCCCCCCCCCCCCCCCCCGAAATTCCCCATGACTTCACCATGTACTCGTTGTAAGAAAAGGCTGACTTGATGCAAGCTCTGCATGTTATGTTGTGCTTCAAAACGTCCCACCATGTCTCTTTTGGCGGTCAGTGCCAGTCACAGTTGGTTGATTGACCAATTTTGGCTCAGGCAGCGCTTTATCTCCTCAGCCTGCCCGTATCCAGTGTTAGCGTTGGCAGGGCATTCTTGAAGCTCAGGGTCATATTAACAGGAAAGAAATAGTACGGATCAAGGAGAAGAATCTGGGAAAGTACATGTGTGTAGTATAATAAGATCACGTCATCCTGATGTACAGAAGGTGAAGTTCCATATTTTTGGGGGGCATAAGCTTCATATGTGACTTGTTTGTACTTCTGTGTTTTTTTCTTGATTCTTTTATAGTTGCACACATTTGCCAAATAAAGTGTCCATTCCTTTTTCAATATATCTGTGCCATTATTCTTTGAGTGATCACAAATACCAGAGAAAAAAGGATCATCTGATCCGGCGTCCGTTGGTGTTTATTTTAGGTTCACCGAAAAAAGCCGATAAACTTTTGTGCGCATAAATATGCGCCCAAAAAACCGAAAACTGAATTTTAAAATAAACACCGAAAAAAGTATGCCGAATTTCGAAAAAATAGAAAACCGAAAACACGGAACCCTAGATATGGCATTAACATTGGGACATGCAAATGAATTAGCTTGACTGCCAATAACGGCCTATTCAATGATTAAACTTATACGCCAATGATGGCATAGCCATTGAATTACTGTGAAAGCCGAAATAGGCATAGCCAATGACATAGTGTGGATGCCAACGATGGCTGAAATATTGGTTTAACGATGGCCTAACAAAGGTGCCAATTATGGCTGGAAAGTTGGTTAAAGAACGGACTTACATTGGTGCCAATGATGGCTGGAATATTGGTTGAACGATGGGCCAACGTTGGCGCCAATGATGGCTGGAACATTGGTTGAACGATGGCCCAACGTTGGTGCCAATGATGGTTGGATCACTGGTTGAACGATGGCCCAACGTTGGTGCCAATGATGACTGGAAGGTTGGTTGAACGATGGCCACACGTTGGTGCCTATGATGGCTGGAACATTGGTTGAACGATGGCCCAACGTTGGTGCCAATGACTGGGCCAACATTGGAAGAAGTTGCGCTCGGCCAGGATACCAATGTTAGACCAACCTCCGGAGCCAGCGTTTGCCATTTTTGGCCCAATGTAGGTCCAACATTGGTGTGCTGCCTGGGTAAACTTCAATTTTCGTTTCAGTACCCCTTTAGAACGGCAAATGCATTGTTAATGCTGCCATAGGCACGTTCTCGCAGAAACCGCCATCTTAATTGTCGCAGGCGATATCAGTCGCCCTCTGTTGGACTCAACGCGATTAACTGTGTCAGTCAGCCAATTAAGTCTTCATGTATAATGAGTGGAGACTTATTTTACATCGATGAAACTGCTGTAGCAATTGTGTCCTTTGCTCAAAATTACTTTATATATCTACCATCCTTATGTAAAAGTAAAAAAAAATATAAGAGCAAAGTTGCTCAAAAAACTGTCCAGGTCCTACCAACATTTCAAGTTCCTGCTGGTAACATAATACCATCTTATTGGGTAGATTCTTGAAAGTATCGATTTTCCACTGGCTTTTAGCTTGGTTGTATAGGGTTGGTAAAATCTATTGTGCAGCGCATTTTAATTTGTTTGTATGAAGAGGCAAATTCAATACTGTCCTGGAGCAGTGCATTTTACTGCCATTAAGGCAGTACTAAAAAGTACTGCCTCTTTTGTGGTCTTTTTATAATCTGTGTGCACTTAAATCTAATTTTCCTTACAGGCACCTTACAAAGAGCAGAGAAAAAGCTTACCAAGTGGGTATACAGATGTTCCATCGAGTCCTCGGAGATTTCCGGTGATCACTTTCAATCTTTTATAGAAAGATGGGTGGAAATAATGAACTGTATTCTAATTGGCATGTATATTTTACTACATAGACAATGCAGCACCGGTAGAAAGGAGAGCAGAGGCGACTCATCCCCGTCTGCAGATACCAGTACTACGTAAGCAATAAATAAAAATATTCATTGTGCTATTTTACTGAAGGGCTCTTTACGATAATATTTGCCTTGCGTGTTTCCAACTAAACGCTAGGGAGTGAAGGGGGTTCTTGACATTCATGCCTCAAGGGTTTCTGTTACCCCGTGTCCCCCCGTCCCCTCCCCTCGAAAGGGCACAACTTTTAACATCCAAAATATCCCTCATCTTGGTTGCAAGCCATCGTTGGTCTAGTTCAACTCTAAGTGATTGTTTCTGTAACCAGAAAGGTGATGGCCATAGTCTGAAGCTTATTGATCAGTTTTGCTTGTGCCCAAGACCCGTAGACACATCAGATGCTTCAACAGTCCAGTTGAGCTCTCTAGGTGAACAGTCTCACTGTCGAAATTGTTTCTGCTTTAAGATGTGCTCCTCTCATTTTGGTCGCTTTAAATCTTAGGGAGAGGCAACCGGAGATCGAAATATAGAGTTTACATCTGTTTCTTCTAAACAAGTGATGGGTGAACCAACTGTGACAACTGCATGAGGTATGCTGCGCTGCGTAGTTACTTTAACAAACACTTAGACTAGGGGGTGAAAAAAGATAGACAGAAGAGAATGCAACATACATGTGAAGGTGGAGACGAACTTTTAGATAGAAAAAAGGAAAAAGATAAGCAATTGTTATTCCGCACCTTCACATGTACGTCATGTTCTTTTCTGTCTGTTTCTTGACCTTCGAGTCTACGTGCTTGTTAATGTGCAACTACGGAGCGCAGCATACCTCAGGACCTCGCTTTAGAGTGATTTCAAAACTCTCTTTTATTTTTTCGCGCCAAACAGCATGCTCACGAGGAAAGATGCTTGTTTTTATTTGTGGCTTTGCAGCATGGATACACTATATACACTTCACTTGTTCTCTGAAGTATGATTTAGGCTAGGCATTATACAAATCCACAACCTATATGACCTTCCAGTAATGGAAGTATAGGTAGTGCTTGTGCATTCAGTAAACAACTGTAATCATTAGTGTTGTGACAGGAATTGGGGGTGCCCAACTAGGACTTCTTGCTGCTAATGTCTCTTGTTATTCAGCCCCACAGGCCCCATTAAGCTCATGTTCAAGTGACGGTCCTAGTGATTCTGCTCCGGCATCGAAGCGGCAGTCACATCGGGTTGAAGAGCCTTCACAGATCCCGGCGAATGATGAAAGAGCGACCCGTGAGTCTTTATTTATTCTTAAACAGTTAAGGCCTACATAGGTCGAAGGCTGAGTCAGTTCTGTTATCTAGGTTATGTAAGAGGGGCTGGCTGTACCATCTTCTTTGCTCTGGCTTAATTTTGCCAGAAAATGCAAACAGTAAGGTTGTGCTTCTTAGAAGATTGATGGAACCAGCCTTTGCAAGTCATCAAGCGGGTGGTGTTCAAACAAAACCCGGAGTAAAGCTGACCCAAGTTATTGTGGACCTAGAGAAAAGCCTGCTGTGTTTTGCATCTCCTTGGAAAAAAGCTCCCCTGCAATCTAAGTTTTTGTGTAACAATGGGGAGTTTATTTCGTTGAGTGCTGTTATCGAGTGCTCTAGTTGGCCATTTACAAGCATGCTCCAAGGCCTGCACTTGGCGCGGTATCAAGATTAGGTCTCCAAAAACAAGCTACTAAAACTCCTCACGGATGCGGAGACTACGAACATCTCGCAGCTGCTGCTAAAAAGCTGATCGCTATTGTATGATTCGGTAAACAGCCTATGAAGTGCTGAAATTGCAATTTACTGCGCTTAATTTATGTGTATACTCCTTAATTTTGTTATTATATAAAAATATTTCATTTTATTTTTGTCACGAAACCCACGGCACCTATAAATATAGATCTCTCTTCAAAAGATGCATAGAAAAACTGCATGCATGTAAAGGCTTCGAGACATTTCAGTTAAATCTATGCTTGATTTCTGCTTTTTGGACCACTTGACCATCCTCCACTGCGCTGTCCCAAAGCTCCATTGTGATGCGCTTGATACGAAAGTGGCAAGAGACCATTTTTTTCTTGTATTAGCTGCTGCATTGTCGCACCACGCTTGGCAGGGCTTTACTTTCTATATTTGCATGGGCAAAAGGCACCGAGCGTTGGCATCTCCCAAGGAAATATTTGCTTGTGTTTCAGGTGCCCAGCTGCAGACAGCAGAACCGTGAGGTGCAGCACGAGACTACACAGCTGAGGCTGGATGTCCAGCAGCTGTCGGACCAAATAGCAGTTCTAGAGGTGCCAATGGGGCAAGCTGCATCGATCCCGACGGCTGCGATTCTTTCACGGGAACTTCCGAGGCTGCCAGCCAGCAGCCTGAAGGAGCTGGAAGCAGCGGAGGCAGCCATTCACGACGAGACTGTAGCCACAGTCTTGGTATTAACAACCTCTTGATTCTCTCCATCCCTATCCTGTATTTCTATGCGCTGTTACACACTATCCTTGATTTTCAAATTTTACACCTACTGTACAATACTGACGAAGCGCCCACCCCTCTTTTAATGGAGAAATGGTTAAACTTGATATTGGTGCTTTATCTATCCAAGCGGTTAAAACCAAGATGGCAGCTACTGAGGCACAGTGAATGGGAGAAGAAAGCATTTTTTTTAAATGACAAATGATTGGTCGAGAGTACTCTACCATATTTACAGTACTAATCTACCATATTTACGTGCATACTCAATGCACTCACATAATTAATGCAGCCCCAACTTGAGCTTCAAAAAGTTATGTTTTTTTTCTGTATGCATTTAACACATCCACAATATACGAAGGAAGCAACAGGATGCCACAGTGGTGCATGCTGAGTGCAGCAACAAGGCAGTAATATAAAAAGAAAGCCGCACAGAAGCCCGGAATCGCCAGGCCCCCAAAAAGAATGCAAGTGGAGGATGTGCTAACAAGGAGGAAAGCATGCGCAAGTCTCGTTGATTGTGAAGACAGGATGTCACGGCAACTATGGAAGCACACGCTTCGAGAGCATCGATCCTGTGCTTGTAATCGCCGAGAGCGACTGAGTGTGTTCCGGATTTCGACATTGGGCCTGGTTTTCGGTAATGTGCTTTGCACAACCAACGTATTCCGGATTGGAGATTGTGCACGGTTTTCATTAGCGCTACCAGCGCTGCAGTGGTTAGAGCCAAAGTTGTATCTACTGTAAAATGCCGAGTAAAACCCCATTTCCTAACAAGTGCCCACTATTAGCATTGAAATTTTCCCAATGGCCGTGGCCCGCGCGCGAGGAATTGTGGGAGAGGCTGTCCCTAGCCTGGCCGCTTTGCCTTGAGATGGCATTGCCTTGTCTCCCCTTAATCCTGTATTTTTCGATTCCATTACCTATTTTATCTATTCCAGTATATTTGTTATTGCTTCTAAGTGTTTCTATTTCTTCTGCGCGTGATACTTGTATATATATAGAGTGTTTGTGTCTATTTTGCCTTTTTCGACGGGAGTGCCGACAAACAACACGCCGCTTCGGGCGTCGTCCCCGGGTGAGTACTACAGTTGCTACCGATTCCTATTCCGCTGTTAGCTGTTCAATTTGGTTCATTTGACCCGCGTGCGGTCGAGAGGAGCCGTTTATGAACACCTGCGCCTGTCATAGGGGTAGGCAGAGCTCTAAATCGACAATCGCGACGCTCGAGAAGAAAGCGCTGTGGTTTGGCCGCCCGCGCTCGCTCCATTGACTCGCACTGTAGCGTATGCCTTCGAGTTCCGCTTACTTAACCAAGATACTGCGCGCCGCTTTGTCGCCGCGAATCATTTGTCCGTATGTTTGCTTAGCTGAGGCATATGCAATGCTGCGGCTCCTGACAACTGCGCGCTGCGACGCAATAACTTTGAAACGCCGACGGCTCAATGTCGCGGCCTCAATGCGCCTATGGCATGCCTTCGTAATCTAACTGCTAAGCTGTTGTCAGTTTCCAACGCCCTTTTTCAAGTGCAGAGATGTGTTGCCGGGAATCGTTTGTCCGAATGCCTGCGAAGCTGTAACACCAATCGGCATTTCGGTCAAGACAACTGCACGCAGATGTCTTGACCCAAATGCTTCGCTGGACGATGTCTTTTAGAGAGCGGTGCCAGGCACCATGCTGTGCGCTGACAGTATTGTTTACACAGCCTGGCACACAGCAAACTGTGCCACCGGGCATGTTGCTGCTGAGGGTGACCAAAAGAAATAAAATACCTAAAGCTGACATCTTGTTTGAAAAATAAAATTATAGAAGGAACTACGAGTTTTAAGATAACTACCTGGGTAACAGCACATTTCTGCACTTGAAAAAGGGTGTTTGCAACTGACAACCGCTTAGCAGATAGATTAAGAAGGCATACTATAAGCGCATACAAGCCGCGACTCTGGGCCACCGGCGCTTGCGAAGGGCTCGCGTCGCTGAACGCAGTTTTCAGGCGCCGCAGCGTTGCATACGCCTCAGCTTCGCAAACATTCGGACAAATGGTTCGCGGCGACAAAGCGGCGCGCAGTATCTTGGTTAAGTAAGCGGAACTCGAAGGCATACGCTACAGTGCGAGTCAATGGAGCGAGCGCGGGCCGCCAAACCACAGCGCACTCTTCTCGAGCGTCGCGATTGTCGATTTAGAGCTCTGCCTACCCCTATGACAGGCTCGGGTGTTCATAAACGGCTCCTCTCGACCGCACGCGGGTCAAATGAACCAAAATGAACAGCTAAGAGCGCAATAGGAATCGGTAGCAACGGTAGTACTCACCCGGGGACGACGCCCGAAGCAGCGTGTTGTTTGTCGGCCCTCCCGTCGAAAAAGGCCAAATAGACACAAATACTCTATATATATACAAGTATCACGCGCAGAAGAAAATAGAAACACTTAGAAGCAATAAAAAATATACTGGAATAGATAAAATAGGTAATGGAATCGAAAAACACAGGATTAAGGGGAGACAAGGCAATGCCATCTCAAGGCAGAGCGGCCCCCAGGCGAGGGACAGCCTCTCCCCACAATTCCTCGCGCGCGGGCCGGGGCGCTTGGGAAAATTGCAAATCGTGTATTCGGAATTTGTGTTTTCAGACACATACTTCGTTTGCTTTCCGGAGCCACAAACATGTGCATGCTGGCCTGTGGAAATTCTGTGCTGGGGTATGGATTTGAAGACATTGCAAAGGTTTATGATTCATGTACTAATTTTAGTTTCTTTTATCATATTTCATGTTTTGCAGAAGGAGCAGCTTCTCAGAATTGGAGGAGGACCCTGCTGGAAACTACAGCCAACATCATGAAAGATTTAATGGGCCACTCTGTCCAAGTGCTATTTTCTCTTTACGGGCGCAAAGGAAAGAGGCCATTTAGCGGCAGGCAGCTGTGCAGAGTGGCAACAAGTGATATGTTATCTCTAAATCTTGATCTGCAAACTTAATTCATCATTTACTGCTAGTGGCAGGCAGTGTGCTTTGCTATAGTCATTACAGCTTAAGTATTCGGTGGCATAGTAGATTCGAAGCATTATGCAGCTGTTTTGAGTGTCTCAATCGTGTTTAAAAAAAAAAATAGTTCGCTATGGCACAAACTCTTTTTTTTTCCAGGATATGGGCTTAGTTGGAAGACTATCTTTTTTATTAAAATGGTCACTGACACGTCATACTTTGCATATTATGTGCTAACCTCTTCTTGGATACGTTGCAGGCATTATACAAAACACATGTCCTGGTGACTCGCGCACTAGCTCATACATTGCACTTTGTGCGCTATTTCTCAGTATAGTAAAGATTCTTACTGCTATTTACAATTTGGTCACTGGGCGAGCAATATTAATGTGATGGCACCACAAATGGCCATATATCTCAATGTCAGTGAGCTGTTTTGAAGCATAAACAGGACCCATTTCATGCCAACTCGTGCTGCATGTGGAAGAAGGCTGCTTTGAGAACATGATTTAAGTAAGATAACTTCAGTAACTATAGACAGAAGAGAAGCAAGCAAGATCCAGTCGGGTGACCTCGGAAGTTTATTTGAGCCTATCACGCAGCGTACCACTCCAATGGTGATAACCACAGTATATTCACATTGTCCCAGTAATACCTGCACAATTTTTAGATAACTTGAATCAGGGTCTAGTTGAAAATGAAGAGGAGCAGATCTCGTCCTGCATATACCTCCCGGCGGCTACTAAGCCTAGCATTGACATTGAATAATTCAAAGGCAATGCTACTGCTCCAATCTTGCAGCACTGCAAACAACTATCCAGAAGAAAATGATATACCATCAGGACATACACTCGAGCGGAGAGAACGAAAATCCCTGCGAGAAGTCACTAGTATGCTAGGCACATCTGCAATACTGAAAGAGTTAATATTCAAAATTGCGTTTGGGTTGAGTTGCTGAATTTTAAGTTGTAACTGACGAACTAAAAAGTAGTTTTCGATTTTGTCTTCAAATTGGGTGTCCGCTTGCAGATGCCATCTGTGAGAAGCAGGCCGTTGACAAGACGACGGCCCTAGCAGTCATCGGGAAGTGGCTGCCGGGGTCTGTGGACCGGGGCGGTGGAAGGAAGAGGAGATTTGCGGCTACGATTGCCGAACCCTCCGCCCAGTCCTACGCCCAGCTCTCCGCCCAGCCCTCTGCCCAGCCTTCTGCGCTGTCTACTGCAGAGCCTTCCGCCGACCCTTCCTAGGCCGCCCTGGTTGCGCTATTTTTTAATCTTTTGATTTGATTTAAATAAATTATGAACTGTAAAACGTGGTGAATAATTCATTTGCATGCTTTAACGCTTTCTAAAGTGTCCAAATATGGTAAAAATGCTGCATTTATTAGACTGGCATCATCGCAAAGAAAACAGTTGCAACACTGGCTGAAAAAATGGCACCAATAATGGCATAGCTAATGTATGCAAAAAATAGCCAGTATATTAGACTGGATGCCAATATTGGAATAGCCAATATTTAAGCCAATATTGGAAGAGCCACTGTGTAAGGCCCTGGATGCCAATGTTGGTTCAGCCAACGGTGAAACGTCTTAGGCCAATATTGGATAAAAAAGCGCAAACCACGTTGGTCCAATGTGGGCTAGAACGTTGGGAAACCAGTGGCCCAACATTGCCACCAATGTTGGACTACCATTGGATCGGGAAGCGTTTTCGAAAATGCCCACGTCAGATCAATAAAGGAACCATTTTTTGCCAACATTGGGCCAACCGGGGTCCAAGAATGGTGTGCTGCCTGGGAAGCAACATCATGTATGTGATCTGCCATCATTATTATATCGTACGAACCACCATTGTCGTGTATCGCTTTCGATTTCGGTCCCAACACCGGTAACCTAGAAGTGTATATCGTGTTCGATGTTTTATCCCACCAACTGTAACTTCGTATTGATATGCTATTCGATGTTGAGTCTCAGCACCGATAGTTCCTTATTTCGATGTTGTGTTGAAACATTAAACTGTATCGCTGTACGTTGGATATATCGTTTGCCAATCAACTTTTGTTGCGTTACAGCAACTGCAATAAACATTTGTTTGAAAACGGGGGAGTGGTGGGCCGAGTGGGCTAAAGCGCACACCCAGCTCGACGCGCGTGGAGCGAAAGCTCGCGCTGCAGAACCCAGACCCTGCCCGTTTCGATCTGAATTAGCATCGTACCGGCGTGCGGCCGTGTATCACTTCTGCGTGGTGCACGTTAAAGACCCCAGGCTAGTGGTTGCACTGCACTGGCTAAATTGCTCATCTACAGCCAGTGACTCGTCGCAACTTTAACTGGCTGACCAACTACACGCTGTATAAATATCCACATAACCCAATTTTTGTTTGAAAACGATCAATCCAATGAGCATGTCGTTTTTGGTGTTTTTCATTGAAAGGTACGTCGCGGGTGTTCAAGCTAGTTATTCTGAATGGTTTAGTGGTTGTCTAGGCATTTCGAGCGCGAGAGGTTGTGTGTGCTGTGTGCCGTACCAACAGCCGTACAGTCGGGGACAAATGTCCACAGGACGCGCGAGCTGCGACTGAAACGCATTGCTCTGCCATCTGCCGGCGGGTCACCTGGTTTCGAGATCACACAAAAACGCATGCGCGTCCTACTGTGCCTGCAAGCATGTGTGTTTTCCCGCTTTCCTGCGTCGCGGCGCCTAACTCGGAATCGGGCACGTGGTGCCGCCTCGGGGATACCGCTTGCGGCTGACGAGCGTTTGCTACACATTCCGAAACTGGAGATACCGCCTGCGGCATTGCGCCGCATTTCGCCATGTCGGCGCAACTTGCTTTATGACCAGCTGAGCTTGATATGTGGCATGCTTGATATGTGCCATGTCAGTAAGCGCAATCTCCGAGGCGGTACCACGCGCCCGATTCCGAGTTAGGCGCCGCGACGCAGAAAAGCTGGAAAACACGCATGCTTGCAGGCACAGCAGGACGCGCATGCGCTTTTGAGTGATCTTGAAGCCAGGCAACCAGCCGGCAGATGGCAGAGCAATGCGTTTCAGTCACAGCTCGCGCGTCCTGGGGATTTTGTCCCCGACTGTACATACTTCCACGTTTCGATCAATGTTAATGCGTTCGCAACGCAGAGCGTTTGTGTATCGTGTGCATTCACATCCATTATCTTTGTCTAACGTATTGCCGTATGGCAACTCGTGCAGTTTTTAGAGCGCAGCTCTTAGGGGCCCGTTTCCGGCTAGAGCGGCGTCGGCGTCGCAGTCGCCGTCGCCGTTGGCGTAACCGCGAGGCCACGTGACCCCCCCGAGTTCACGTGACCCACCCAGGTCACGTGACACCCCTAGGTCACGTGACCCCCTGAAGTCACGTGACTTCTGGGAGTCACGTGACCTCAGGGGGTCACGTGACCTAAGGGGGTCACGTGACCCCCTGAGGTCATGTGACCCCTTCAGGTCACGTGACCCCCGAGGTCACGTGACCCCCTTGAGGTCACGCGACCTCAAGGAGTCACCTATCCGTCAGTACGCTTACATCTTCCTCCTCGAGAGCTGCGCTCTAACCGGCGTTACAGGAAATTGTAAACGGCTTTCATTTTTTTTTCAATGTCATTCACGCGATGTCGTATATGTGGGCATACCGATATCCACATGTCGCTTCACGAAAGCTCAATATCGTGTCACGTTTCCTCTTAGTCCGGGGTATATGCCGACCTAATTCATGTTGGTAACTTGGAATTCGTTTAAAGATATATGCAAGCGACAATCATATTGGATTCTCCTTTGGGCCCGTGATCGACGACCGATATTTATATATCGTCTGGATATACAGCATGTCCATGTCGGTCACCAATTTGCGCGCCGTGTCGTATTCTATTCCAATAACCGCGCATTAAATCACGGTATTGTGCTCCGACATCGTGTTTATACCAATACCCGAAAGTTATATTGTGGTAGTGCGCTCCAATATCCTGTTGTATGCCAATAACCACATATTACATCGGGATATTGTGATCCGATATGAATTCACATTGTGCGTATAAAGTTAATCGGATAACATTAAGTTTTTGTCGGTGTCCATCAACTTCATTGGAATACAATAGTTCCAATAAGCCGAGTTCATATTGCCCTTTTTCAATAGGGCTGTTACGTCGCAAGAGGATATGTATGTCGTGCGCATATAATTTTGAATCTTTCCGGCTTAGTCTACTTTACGTGGATACTCGAAAGAATTTCTACTTGGACGAAACTTAAGGCAAATCTTTCAGCAGTTTCCATGGCCTACGAGCCAGCTAGCTCCAGTTGTTTATTTAAAAGTGAGAGTTGCAGATTCTCTAGTGCGGTTCGAAGCAGGAATACTAAAGACAGACAACCGGTACAGCATTTTAATTGACGAAGCTGAAAACGACTGGTGGCACCTGCATTAAAGCTTATTTTTCTGTAATACGCACGGACGAGAACGACGTGTGCCCAGTCACGTTGGAAGAGGATATCTACGCCCCTTTCATGTAATTCTAAATCATTCTGCCTTAGCGTGCTGTAGGTGGCTTGTCAAAGTAATTGCTTTTTGAACGCAGCTAATCGCAAATCTCTCTTCCAGTTTCCACGGCCTACAAGCCAGCAGGCATTAGTTCGTTTTTCTTCAAAGCTGTGCATTCCAGATACTCTATTTTGGTTCGAAGCCGGAATACTGGGAGAAGGCAGCTGATACGTATATTTCATTGACCGAGCTCAGAATGACTCGAGGCAGTTTCTATGAAGCTGATTTTTCCGAAATGAACGTGGACATAATTTCGAATCAATTCGTCTCAGTGAGGAACTGTTGCTTGTCGCGAACTGATCACAAAAATTTATCTTGCAGTTTCTAAATGGCTGCAGCTAGCAGGTGCTGTTTTCATTAAAACGTATCTCACAACCTGTTTTCAAACATCAAGTTTTTGAATGAGGATTCTAAGGAATACAATATTTGGCAGTTAAAGCCGGTTCCTCCAGCTTACCAATATTCTTAAATATACTTGGTATGGATATGCACAGTGTTTTTCTTTTTTCTTCTTCATTTATAATTTGACGGCATCAACTTTTTCTTTTCGTTTTTCACCACTCAGTAGTTCAAACTAGAAGAATTAACGTTCCAACGAGATGTCGTGCTGAACGTGATATTCCAACTCGTATATAGCTTTCTTGGTGTTCGCAAGAATACAAGGGTCATTTCTTTGGATTCTAATATTCATAATACGCTAAATACACTTGAATTGTAAATCCTTGTTGGGTCCCCATACGTCACATGGGGATGCAATAAAGATTTATGCGGTATGGAATTCCATTGCTTTTACCGTAATATGAATATATTACGCTTTCCATATTAGGGTTTTCCATTAGGGACCGGCTTATTTTCCGGATTCTAGAAACCGAAATTGCCTCCGTTTCCACATGGCGGACTGAAACACCGAATTCATTCAGGTTTATTTCCAAACTTTTATTTATTTATTTATTTATTTTTTTGGCGGAGGGGGGGGGGGGGGGGGAGTAGGGCAGCTCTGAACAAATTCAGCTTCTGCGCTAAGTTAAACGGGAAAATTGACGTCACTGACCTCAACACCAATTTAATTCCCCGCTTAATTCAGCAAGGAACTGAATTGTTGTTGAGGTGAAGTGACGTCAATTTTCTACGTAAATCTAACAGGAAAACTTAATTCTTCCGCTAAATCTAGCGTAGAAACTGAATTGCCCGCTAAATTGTGCAGGGAATTGAATTGGTTTTGGGGTAACGTGACGTCAATTTTTCCTCTAAATTTAGCGCGGTTACGCTGACACCGGCGGCAACGCCGACGCCGTAAAATGTGTAAACGGGCGCTCTTTAGTGTGACCACCTTCCTGCAGGCGAAATGCGGGACACCCTGACCGGAAAAGGGGGGGGGGGGGGGGGTGTAAGGGGTAAGATTAGGACGGTATTTTCACGAATCAAGAAATAACTATTAAATAAATTGACCATCCCGCAAATCCCGATAGCCTGTGCAGTCCGAAAGCACATTATACACCTGAAAATTGTGTCGGCAATAGGTGACCGGCGTTTGAGCCGGAAGTTTCGTCATCCGAAGCGAGGCACCGCGTGACTTCAGGCTTCCGGCAAGGTATATGTACATGGGTAGCGAAGCTTCGGCTAAAAAGCGGTTCAAAACAAATCGCCAGCGACATCGACCAGGGTCACGTGAAGGATGCGATTGAAGCGCAACTAGGAGAGGTGGGGACTAAAATTAATAAAATTAATTAGTTTGTGACGAAGTACAATCATTGGT